CTTTAAGAAGCGTGGATAAATCAAATTATCTTTTTAAAGCCCTCTTTAATTCCAACGAGACAAAGAAAGTTACTGGTCATTAATGTGTCGTATGTATAACTAATATTTATCATAGCCAATATAGTTCAGAACAAGCAAACTTTGGTAGGGTAGTAACTTTTAGGTGCTACATGCATAATTGAGCACAGGCCAAATCCCTTTTTGTAAATCAATATGATCATTTTTGAGGATTTTTACAAGATAAGCAAAGCGGTACAGTGGAAAAAAACATTTAATTAGACATCTCAAGTTTCAATTTTAGAGTTGACTGAGGATGGCTGTCATAAATAAAGAGCTCTACAATGTTCTCCTTCCTTAGTTAAGATAAGAAAACAAGTGATACTTTTTAGAGGAATCCATGCAGTGGACAGAGGTCAGGTTAGGTGGTCTCTGAGAATCCATTCAGCTTTGGAATTCTAAGACCAGATGGCCTCTAAGGTGTCTTCTAGCTCAGAAAGTATAGGTACCTAGAACATAATTTTTTCCATTTTAAATTGTTATATAGGTTAATAGCATATTTTTGCTTTCACAGTTCATTGCTGACAATGTCTGCTACTTATTTGAGGTCAAATCTTTGGTCAAGAATGCAATACTAGCTACAATGTTGTTCCAGGAAAATATTTCACTTTATAAGGAGTATGTTGCAGTAAAAAATAGTGCCCATCTATGAAACGTCAGAAAATATTAGTCCCAATACAAGTAACATTTACCAACTAAACTCTGGTGTTATTCATCTAAACCAGTGATTTAGAGCTACATTTAAAAATATCTGATGTTATTTTTTACCTCTCAAATGCAACAAAAAACTAAATAATATAAAAGTATATTTTTATTTGCAGCAAAATTATTAGATGGTATTTTTAAAGTAGGTATTAAAACTCAACACCTAGGGCCGGCCCGGTGGCGCACTGCTACAGTGCGCCGCTTGGGAAGTGTGGCGGCGCTCCCGCCGAGGGTTCGGATCCCACATACAGAACGGCCACTCACTGGCTGAGCGAAGAGCGGGGGCAACACCGAGGGTTGCGATCCCGTTGCCGGTCCCAGTCCGGTACGGGCGCAACACTGAGGGTTGCGATCCATTGCCGGGCACGAAAAAAGACAAAAAGACAAAAAAAAAAACAAAAAACTCAACACCTAAAAAACTGAAATGTGATGTGAAATTACATCTGAAGTTTTCAAAATATATTAAAAACCCAAATACAGCATTGCAATTTCCTTAAGTTACCTTCTTAATTTTAAAGTGTTTATTTCAAATAACTTAAAGATGTTCTTATGCATACACATAAGCTATGTGTCTCAGAATTCAGAACTATGCAAAGAATTTTTCAATATGACCACAAAAGGAAATATTTACACCTTTTAATGTAGCACTTAATACTAATTTTTGAAATCTATTGCTGATGCTACTTCTAAGAAGCAATGACCCAACCAGAAAAATAGTAAAGGCTGCCTTTTCTTTTTAAAGTGCTTATTAGCTTTATATCCAAAAGCAATGGTTTTTACAAATACATAATACTGAAAGGTGCTCAAAAAGTCACTACTTACAGAATTGAAGATGTCATTTTCTAACTTTAAACATGTAAACTGGTTTTATCTGCATTAAATGAAGATTGCTTTCAATGGTCCTCAACCATATGCTTCAAATCAAGATAGTGCTATTAATATCAGCAGCATGAACAGTGCCAGCAGAAGAAACCCCAGCACATTTTAATGGATCACAGCAGACCAGAAAAACTGTTAATAGCTTTTGGATATGCTACATATCCAAAGATGAGCCTTCTCTTTCACTCTGCAGATATGAAAAATAAACAAATAATAAAAACACTTTCTTGTCTCTCCCTAGATAATTTTACAGTATATAAAGGGATTCAAATTCTCTTACTATTTAACCAAACTCTTGTTTCTATATAGAGGAAACTGCATATTCTCAATGTTTAAAACAAAGCCTATTTCCATCAGGAACGCAAGAAGGAATTAATAAATGAAATCTTCAACTCTAAAAACCTGAGAAATAAAATTGTGAACAATTCTGAAACAAAGCATTTTTTAAAGGCTCATACAAACATTCCAAAATAGAATTTGTTTTCTGAGAATGAAATATGTGACTTCATTTCAATTACATCAATTTTATCTGATTTAAATAATTTAGAAAAATAAGTATCATCTTAATCTAACTGCTTTTTATATGAGATTTTCATCTGATTCATGCCTTTAATATGAACCTTTCAGTCTTATAGTAAGTACCTCTTTAGGTCCCTGTCTGTTTTCTGAAAGTTAAGCTCATTTTACTCTTCCTTTCTCTCCCTTCCAAAAGGCTCCATATAGCCCAAGAGAAAATCTCCATTACAAAAAAAAAAAAAGTCACAATTTAAATACAGTGTGATAATGCTGCATTTGATTTAAGGTAGTAATAAATTATAAATTGCCAAATAACTTAATGTAATTCATAATGCAAATCCCTGGTATAAAAAAGAATCCATCTTGCCCTGAATATAATAAAGCAGTCCAGTGATTTCAAATTACTTATGAAATAAAGGCAAAAATAAGATGTAAAATACTATTTATAAAAGTCAAGTAAGAAACAAGTTACCATAAATCTTTTTATAAAGATAAACGTAATGTGCCTTACCACTTCTAAAAATTGTTAGGGAGGCTTATAATTTAGTGGTTTCAAAAATGACTTTCAGTAAACTAGAGACTGAATTATAAATTATTGTAATATATGACATATTAAATATGCATGTTACAATAATACTGCAATGCGGAGTAATTTAATATTTGGACCTGCTATCTTTTGGCCAGTATATTT